ACTGGAGGGGGGATTGGGGCTAGGGTGTACTTCGAGGGACAGCTACCTTATTGTACTTATGCTACCAGAATCTGGCAGGGGACCTTCTTGTCGAGCCAGCCTTTAAGCTGGTACGTTATGTATTAGTGTTCTTTCTAGTCTTTCACTGCCCGCTGTATTCACTAGACAAGGATCTAACAATGGCATGAAATTCCGTGTCATTAATTTAAATGGTCAGTGCGTACTATTTTGCCAACATTACTTCCACAGTAACCCCATTCTCAGATTAGAAATAATATAAATTGAAAAATCAATTTTATTCTTTAGATTCAATCTAATTTTATATATGCTGCGGATGCTACAATTAATTCTTGTTTTTTGTCAGGGTGTTGACGCTTGTGTGCCAACCATCACAGATTGTACGTGTTGTTGAAGACATACTGCCACGCATCGAGGATGTAAGTTGTATTCACTGCATTTATTCTCATAAGAGCTTTCCGTTAACTTTTGTGCGGATATACACTTATTTGCGATGTTCCTATTTTAAGACGCAAAATGACAAGGACAAGTGCACTATTCGTCTGCTCGTTCATCAGTCTCACGCTGGTGCTTTGATTGGCCGACAAGGAGGAAAAATCAAAGAACTTCGTGATAGAACGAATGCTAGAATTAAGGTACTTGAAGCTTTGTAATATCAACTGAAAAAGTCTGATTTTATTTATATCAGGTATTCCAACAATGTTGCCCGCAGTCAACTGATCGGATTTGTATGCTTTCCGGAGATGATCGCAATGTTCTAGATGCAGTGGAGCAAATCGTTGAAGAACTGAAACAGATCCCTATCAAAGTATGTGATAGCCTGTATTCTGCCATGATAGTCAGAATTCATGTCTTTTCTAGGGTCCCGTGAATCCATATACCTCGTTCAACTATGATCCTGCTATGGCTCCAGACTACGGCGGTTTCTCTCCAACTTTCCCTACCTCAGGACGTGGTGGTCCCCCTATAAGCCCATTCTCAGGTATGTTACTGTTGTGGCTGAGAATGGGCGACAGTTGAATGGATCTTATTTTTTAGGAGGTCCTCGACGCTCGCTCGGTGCACCTCTGCCGCCAATGCGTGGTGGTGGCGGTCTTGGTGGCCCGGATATGCGGTACGATCGCGGTCTTGGAAGAGATTATGATGCTGGTAAATTTTTCTTTCAACTTTTTCCCTTCCATCCAGTTCCGATCAGGTCGAAAAGTGGATAACTTCTCAGGACCGTATGGTGCTCCACTGGGCGGCCCTCCTCAGTACGGCGGTGGCGGAGGACTGTACGGAGGTTATCCTGGACAGAATGCAATTCAGACTACTCAGGTGAGCATTCTGCAATATTCCCGTAATATTTATGTCATTGTTCTCCTACGAGGAAGGGGTGCCCAGAGCAGTCCGAACAGCATTATTTTCAAAGTACATTTATGTGAGAGCTATGCATGGCATAGAAGTGTGATGGCATGCTTCGGTCATGGCATATAAGTCAAAACTCGAAGGTTTCAACTCTGTACTCATTCTTACTTCTTGCCTCAAAGGTTTCTTCCTGATGGTGACATATATGTGGGAGTTAGATTTGAGGTGGATTTGCAAAGAATCTTGCGGTCGTTTTACCTGAAGTTCTCTTGATGGAGGACATTGGTACGTTCTGAGATTGCAGATTGACGTGCGACGTGAACTCCATTACTTATAATTATAAAGCTTGAAATTAAGTCTCGGACAGTTGAATATTTCTTCCAATAGGAAGTATGTTTTTAGTCGAAGTGGCTTTTTTAGACAAAAATCATATCAAGGAAAGTGTTGATTCCTAATCTGTCTTCAGTTGAGTGCTTTTTGTATAAACCAGGTAAAAGCAATCGTTGTTGCCCCTCTGACCTCAAATAGAGCAGTGGCGAATACGAGCTTACCAGACAAAAAGGGTATACTGCATAAAATGTCCTGATACCCGCCTCCCATTTGAACGAGTGAGTGATATTACTTAGTATAAGTGCGCGCTCAAGTTTTGGACCCCCCCCCCC